ATATATATATATATATATATATGAGTCCCTTGACAAGTGAATTAAGTCTTTTTTTTTTAATTTTGTAGAAATTGTAATATTTTCGTATAGTATTGTTTAATTATAAAACAAAATCTAGTTTTACCGTGATAAGATAAAAGAAAAATAATTGTAACAACATAATATAAAAGAAATTTATATTTCTTTCAATAATAAATAGAGAAACAATAATCAAATACTATCATTTATTTACTATGTAAAAATTGACTCTTATTTTTTATTAATGTAATACGAAATGTATGCAAATGAAACTGATAAATATTCTTAGTGCTTACTATTTGTGCTAATAATTTTTCTATTTTTATATATGTACTATTTATATAATAATTATTTATGTATATAATATTTTATGCATAATGCATTTTATATAAACATTCGTTATTAAATAATAATAAAATATAATTGCAAATATAAATAATAAATGGAATAAATTTTAGATAATGAATATTTTAATTATTCATTAATAGCAATACACAAGTAATAGCAATTTGCCATCATTTAAAAAATAGTAACAATGATTTGCAATGTCGAAAAATTCGATTTTTTAATATATACTTATGTCTAAAACGTGTATCATTTCTCAAAAATATTAACAAAAATTATTTTTTTGAGATTATTTACAAATATTTAATCGTTGAACTGGAATAAAAAAATAAAAAAATAAAAAAAAGGAGTGATAAAAAATTTAGTTAATTAGAAGTTTCTATAGTTCATTATCCATTAGTTGGATAATTATTGATTTGGAAAGGGTTCAGCTTGGTTAACCTATGGATGCTTCCTTGTTGGCGAACGGCAGAAAAATTCGATTACTTCATCTTTCACTAGATACTCGGTTACCTAATTTTATTGGTCCACAAATTGATAGAATAGAGAATGTTCACAAGGAAGACTGCTTTTGATATTACATAATTGCATAAATGTTCTATCAGCTTCCTCGAACGATGAAAATGGAAGATTTTTACAACTGTTTTGAATGATAGACGAGCTGAATTAAATAAAACTTATTTTTCTTCTGAAATATTTTGTATTTCAAAGATTATACTAAAATTTTTGAGATGTCAGTTGTATTTTAGATAATATGAAATATTGTAATTACTTCATGATACATTAACAATGATATAGTAACAATACAATAAAAATAATAAAAACAATATAAAAGATAATAAATATATTTTATAATAATGTAATAATAGTTTTATCTTATTGGTTTAATTCAATTAATAATAATATCTTAATAATAATAATGTATATTTTATATACAATTTCTTTAATTTAATTTTAATATATACAATTAATATTGATAGAAAGAATAGTTAATATTATAATAGTTAAAACTCTGCAGAATAATTTTAAGTATATTCATTGCTAAAATTTTAGAACGATTGAAATATGGTTTATACAGATTTTAGGAAGCATCATTTATCTATTCAGTGAAGTTTGAAAATACCGAAAATTAGTAATAAAAATCGTCGATTCTAATAGAAATATCAAGTTTTTAATTTTTTTAGAAATTGCACTAAGTGTCCGATTATTTATGCATGATAATGTTTATTTTATTTGTTTCGCTCAATTAATAATAAAATCATGTATGTACTTAATCTTTTTTTGTTGTTAAAAAATTTACAATAAAACATCTAAGTTTTTGAGTCCAAAATTCAAGGACATCTACAATGCTTAAAAAACCAGCTGGGTATTCCAAGTACGTGAGAACACCTGAAAAAATTTTCGATACTGGCCTGCTAAGAACTGGCGCCAACTCTACCATCTCTTCAGAGCCCAAAAGTTACCGTTTGGTGTGCAATGGCCTCCGTAGGGGCTTTATTTTTTTGAAGAAGGTGGTGACCGGTATTGTAACACGTTGAAGAACTTTTTACGCCCCCTTCCCTTTAAAATGGAAGAATACGAAGAGGAACAAGATCCAAATAACTTCTGATTCCAACAGGATGAAGCCACAGCGCATACAGCCATTTTGCATGAGATGTTCCTCGGTCGCCTGATTTCCTTTGATGAGGAGATATTACATGGCTAGATCTGAGCCCCTGCGACTTTTTCCTGTGGGTGTAACTCGAGGCTGAGATTTATAAGCATCGTCCTCGAACGCTAGAAAATCTCAAGGAGGCCATTAAAGAGGAAATAAAGAGCAAGTATATGTGCATCGTCCGTCAAGGTCATCATTTGGACGATATTATTTTTGAAACCTAGGCCAAAAAACTGCATTATATGTGCTTTCAGAAAATAGAACTTTTTTTTCGTATTTTGTTCCGTTTTTTCATAATTCATCTTGGAAATGTGGGATTCCATCCTGTAAAATTATATTATGAACATTATCATTAATATAAAATATATGTCTAATGTTAAGGTAATACAACATATAAAGTATATATGTTAATCATTTTTTTCACCAGTATTTCGAGGAGCCATTATTACAATTTTCGAGATGACAAGAGAAATCTCTGAAGGTATCTGCATATACTTTACTGTCGAGATGACAAGAGAAATCTCTGAAGGTATCTGCATATACAAATCGTTATTTCTTTGTATAAAAGCATACAATAAAGAACGGATTAATAGTAATTAAAAAAGATGTTACATTCAAGTTAGTATGTAAAATTCTAAATAAGAGAAATGGACAAGAAGGAAGATGAGAGAAAGGAAGAAGACCAACGGTTGGAGTATATGTTTAATTATTTGATGTTATCGAGAAAATTAAAAGCTGACAAATGGACGAAAATGTTATCGACTGCAGATTTTAAGGTAATTTGAATGTATTAACCGTTAAGTGATATCATGGAGACGATTATTCGATTTAATTTGTGTTATACTACAAAAATTAAGGTTTAATTTTATTTTCTATTTTATATTCTCTGTGTTAGAGATTAGTGATATAATTGAATCAAATTGAAAATTCCAAGATTAAACAATGTGAAATCTAAAGTTTTATGGTTTTTTTTTATATCCAATGATGTAATTAACAGGTTCCAAGTTTATTTTTTTGAAAACATAGTTTTGAACGAAAAATTAATTTTATTTTACATTTCTTCACTTATTTTTATAATTACTTATCGATTATTCATTTTTATTCGGCATAAAACAAAGAGACACCTAAAACACTTGAATGTCTTGGCTGTTATTCGAAATACCAAAAAAAAAAGAAATGAGATGACTAAAGTCTGGCTAAGAGACTAAATGAGACTAAATTTTCCTGATATTGACATTATCTGATATTAATAATTTTTATAGAAGTGGAGGTTGTTGTTTTCTTAAATGGAATTATATTTTTTTTAATGCATCCCCTACAAAAGAGTATTAATCTATTTATGTTGAAGAACATGAGAATTTTAGATTAATAGACAAGGACAATAAAAACACAGGAACACCCTTGTGTCTCATATGACAGATTTTAAAAAAACTAAAGTTAAAGTGTCTACTGATCTAATAGATATTTTATATAAATAGATTAATATTTCTTTGTAGAAAATGCAGAGATGGATTTACTAATTTATTCAAAAAAAAAATGTGATTGCATTTAGAAAAACGAAGTTGATCTCTACGTTTTCAGCTATCAAAAGAATTTAATATCAGATTATGTGCCCCTCGTTTGATACCTTTTTGTCTATCATCAACAATAATCAAAATATTTTAAATGCCTCGCCCTGTATTTGATGATCTTTCAACTTCGGCTTTCTCAAAAATTGAAGAAAACTTAAAAAGAAAAATTTATTTTCACTCGATTAACCCATTAACGCCCACTTGAAATCTAGAATTATTCTGACGATATAGAAATCGTCATTTTTTCATTAGAGAAATTTCATTACAGAAATCTTAAACGACATACCATATATCCATATACCCGTATAAGTGCTCATTTAAAGTTTAAAAATAGGTTGAAGTCGTTTCAGTCCCAAGGTGTTCAATCATTCGCTTTACCAGATTAAATTAGCATTTCATTGAAAAGCGGCTAAGTGCCATCTATCCAAGAGGGAAACTTCGGAGGGAACCAGTTACTAGATGATTAGTCTTTCCCCTATAGATATTTCAAACCTAACCTAAATATATTTATTATATACCCCTATAGTAGATATTTATAGTAAATATTTCAAACCTAATATATATATTTATAGTAGATATTTTAAACCTAACCTAAATATATTTATTATATACCCCTATAGTAGATATTAATAGTAGATATTTCCTAACCTAACCTAAACCTAATATATAGATATTTATAGTAGATATTTCAAACCTAACCTAAATATATTTATTATATATC